ACACACACACACACACACACACACACACACACACACACACACACACATATATATATATATATATATATACACGGACACAGCTTGCTGGTACGTGCAATATCGATCAGATGGATGTCACTGTACCTACCTATATAATTTTGGGCGTAGGCAACGCTACGCCGCGACATAAATCCCTCGACCGGGTTTGCGAGATTCGTACATTATATATTATAATATATATAGTTATTTCATTTATATTATTGTATATTGTATATATATATATATATTTAAACATAATATATTATCTATATACGCTGGAATGTAATTACTTTATACGGGTATCGTAAATTTTAAATGCAATTTAATCGGTATTGTTTTAAAAATATATGTTGTGCATGTTTTGCGTATGTATAATATATTGTTGAAGATGGACATTCCAAATTAATTAGAAAAAATGTGTAGTCACATTTAAAATTAATTTATGAATTTTTTTTTTCTTAATTTGACTGACATTTATTTTTATGAAATACCGATTTTTCCTACAAACATATCGTTCCTATTGGTTCGAGGTTTTTAATAGCATTATATTTTGTTTAATACGTCAATTGGATTTAACGGAGTGTAGTTAGTGTGGTGGGCTGTAATGGTTTTCGAAAGGAAATCCAGTAATTATATAGACAGTTTGGGTATTCGTTTTGAAAAAGATGATTTGTTTACAGAATTTTAAAAAGTGGCCACATCTGTTATTTTGCTGAATAAAGATAAAAAACATATTTTTATAATAATTGATTAGTGAGAACAGTATGCGTTTGGATCACCGAAAAACTGGTAAAATGAATATAATTTATTAATGTTTTATTATATTTATGAGTTATGACACAATTTTGTTAAAACAACTTATTTTTCAAATATTTTATAAGATTTATAAAAAAATAAATAATATAGTATATAGTACAATTCTGGCAAGTATTTATTAAATGTTTTAAATTAAGTAATTAAAATAATGACAAAAATTGCTCACAGGTTCAGGTATAAAACGAAAGCTTTCATAGAAACTTCTAAGCAACAGAGATCGAAGGTTAAAAAAAAATCATAGTTCATTAGACTCCAAGTAAAGTAAAATAAAAATGTTTACTTATCAATAAAAATACCGAATCACACTATTATTGATATTATTATTCTTGAAATTATCAAAATAAATTATAACATAAATATTATACAATATATTAAAAAAATTAAAATAAAACTTTACTATTCTATATAGTATATAATATTTTAATATATTTAAATTTATTTAAGAATATTTTATTTTAATATAATTTCAAAGGTATTGGGTTGAGATATAAGATTATAATCTACATGGCATATACTTAAGACGAATCTAAAACTATAATATGCAACATAAAAGAAAGTTTGATTTTGATTTTTGTTCATTAATTATATTATAGTATCGGATTATACTTATATTTTACATTCGTAAGTAAAATCATTTTCTGAGTAAAATAGTCTTAATAACTATAATGTATATTTCATGTATATAAATTCGAACCAAAAGTAAATTATTTAATGACATTTACTGTTTGGATGTTGCGGATAGTGGTGTGCCAAAATTGAGCGAGGTATTTGCCACTCCATTCCACTTATCTGAACATTAAATGTTAATATTTAATAATGGTTGTAAATAATTAACTATTGGTTTAGTATTCGATATTGAAAAATGATGAAAAATCACTTGATTCAATAATATATTTATAAATTATAACTTCGCGAATAAAAATATACTGCAGTATGAAAATTTGACTGGCCGGTAATCAGATTTTTAGTATACGACGAAATATTCTTCTATACCAACGTAACATACACCGGCTTTAAATAACTGTTAAGCCGCAGGGGTTAAAATAAACTGTACAAATATCATGGCAACCAAATAAATTCAAATTTGTAACAAATAATAATATTCTCGTTCAATTAAAATCACTCGTGAATAGGGGAAACAATTTTACACTGATACAGTTGTAGAATTTTTGTTACGTTTTTGTTTGTGAGAATTTATCTATACATATAAGTAATAGAAGTAATTATTAATTATTACATTATATGATATATCTATTTGTTTTGTATAAAATTTAACCACCTTCAACGATGATCGTGATTGTACTTATTATAACATATTTATTACATAGTATGAAATCAAGTCCTTGTGATGTCATTTGCCGAATTAAAAACAACGACGAAAGTGAGTTGTACAAAACACTTAAAACATAACGGTTTGCACGAATCAAATGCATATATTTTATACCTGAATACTTGTAAATTATTGTTTTTTAGTAGCTCTCACTCATGCATTTTTTTACGGGGAAGTGTTCCGATGTTCAAAAATTACTCTTTTAATTAGGTTTCTAATTTCTATTTATAAGTATAGTTTAATTCATAACTACCGGACAGATTACAAACATATTATACCTATATGTAAGTAAAAAGCTAGTAAATACACGTATTAAATGTGAATATACCTAATAAATATTTAAGTAATATTAATAAAGAACTATAAAAATAGTGTTTTTTTTTTTTAATTATTAAGATCTTACTTACTGAAATAGTACTATTGTCAAAAGTATCTTATTAAGTATTATTAATATTTCTTAACATGTAATAACATAATTTATTATATAAAATTGCGAGGTTAAGTTAGGAAATATTTTCTAGGACTCCGTGTAATTTTTTTAGGTTAACTATAAAGTAACTTAAGTATTTTTAAACTGCAGCCCATTTCTATTAAAATAATACATTGTTTGTTATATATAATTTCTTGTTATACTAAATTTTAGTGGTGTGAAAACATGAATTGATGACAACATCAATTTTTCGGACATAAAAATCTTGCGTTATCCTTTAAGTATGCAATTGTAGATTATTATACGCAAGAATTAGAGCTGTTTAAAATTTTTTGTTTATATATTTTGCCTACATATAACCACCTATAATCTATATAATTATTTGAAGTTTAAGGTGATTGTAACATTTAGAGAATCTTGTAGTTCACAAATCTAAAATGAAGTTCATGTACGTACCAAATTTCGAAACCAAATTACATATTATACTATATCTTATATTTAGCGGAATATCTAGAAAGTTTAGAAATGTTCGATATTAATATTGTATCTATTATACATTTTATATAACGTTTACAGACTTTCTGTACAGAGATATACAGATTGTATATTAAATATACAAGACTTGTACAAGAACTTAACAATGTCAAATCACAGAGAAAATGAAATGTTGTCTGGCTTCGGACGATTTCTGTCTCTGACATTAATGAACCTATACGTTGGTATAGTATGTTTATAATATAAAGACCCAACTTTATGAAAAGCGCTTGTGAAAAGCACTTGATTCATTCCTACATCAACACGACAACCATATACAGCTGATTATATAATATATAACATAAATTATGAAATGTATATTGTGTATAATTGTACGTCCTATATTTACTCATTTTCTTAGAAAAAAAAATGTTAACTAAAATGTAGAAGTCGTGTTTCATTTAGTTGTGACACAAATTGAATGTTCAAAAAACGTACATATAATATTCTAAAATACCTCTCAACTCTAAAACGTTTTTAATCAAGGGGAAAAGTTTTATCAGCATTTTGCAATTAATTATTTTATACATGAAACAAAAACGAGATGAAAGGATAAACTTTCGTAATATTGGATCCCAAATCAAATATTTGGTGAGATCTTTTGTTTTGCTAAATGTATACACAATATACTGTCCGAAAACAATAATGATAAAGGCCATGTTGTTGATAAAACTGCTTATTCTTTATGACTGTATCAGACAAGAATACAGTATTATCACGGTCTGTTAAAAATTCATTCCGAATGGCTAGCCTAAAACCATTGTATAATGTATGCGTGTGTGCATATTCAAAATTATATAGAGGCGTACCAAAGGGGCGGAAATCCCGGATTTATACTTTTTTTTTGCATCAAACAATTATGTCAATAAAAAAATTTAAAGTGAACATTTTCTTATTTTACCAATTTAGGTTATAGATTAAAATTAATATATATATAATCGTTTAATATAATTTATATTTTAAATGAAAGTTATTTGTTAATAATGAAAATGAAATAACATTTCTTAATTTGAAATTCCTCCCCCCCCATAAAAATACCTGATTGAACTACTTATTTATAACATAAAATAGTTTCCTTGTAATAATTTTGTTGATTAATAACTCATTTATATAATTAATTTATTATAATAGTATTTGAGTAACGATTTAAATACCTATTATAAAATGTTCGAGGTTCGTTGATAATTATGTCAGTTCTAAAGATGAAAATAACATTCTATTACACACCAATACATATAAACGCTTTTAAGTTTCATTTATTCTTTGTATCAATACAATAAACCTTACAGAAACTTTTGATCAAAGATTAAATTTTATTAAATATTAGTTTAGTCGAGAAATATTTTATAGTACGATTGGTAAGTGTAAAAAAGGTAATTATGTGTTTGCTGTCTCGATTCTTTCGTTTTTCTGCAGATCGCAAAATAATACAAATTTTCATTATTAATTATAATTAATATTGTTAGGTTACATATCATATCGTATTTTTTGCTGTGCATTCGAGTCTTTTAAATTGTTTTTAATATCATACACTATAGTCAATACGCTTCTTTTTAAACTTCTTCTTGAATAATTTCGAACCATAAAGTATAGAGTTGCTTAGCATCTTAGAAGAAATTTTAATAAACAAACTGACCGATATGCAATCAATTTTATTCTAGTTGCGATTGGCGAAGTATCATTTCCATTGATGGCTAACGTGGCTGGC